TTTTTTTTTTTTTTTTTTTTTTGAAAATGAATTTTGGCATAAAATAACTAAATATTATTTGTTGGATTGTGGAAAATAGGGTTTGGACAAATATTGTTGAAAGGATGATGGAGTGAATAAGACATTTGGCAAAATAGGCCAAAAATGAGAATGCCATTGATTACCCATCCTTTGATGTGTACTTCACAACCCTAACCCACTCTCATTTACTACCATTCAACATGCCCTTCCCGATAATCGCCCCGAGACACGAACGGAGTCGAGCTAAACAAAAATATCATCTACAAACACCAATTTTAGATTCAAAATTTACCTTTAATCTCTAAACTTTCGTGCAAGTAATAATTCTGTCCTCGTCATTAAAAAAAAATATATATATATATTATTAATATTTAATGAAATTTTTTATATATGGATTGATAAATCGATAAAGACTAGATCTGTCTAAAACTACAAAAAATTACGTTATTATATCATAAAATTAACGTTGTAAATTTCAAAGTAAAAAGATAGAGATGTCCATTTTACTCGTGAGGCCGAGTCTGGATGGAAATGAAGTATGAACACACTCCCTTGCTATTAGATGCACAACTAAGCATCCTTCTTTCTTTCTTCTCGCACGGACCTTCCTGATCTGGAGAATAGAATGAATGTTGAATTGCTTCAATCAAAGAGATAGTTCAACCCTTGTTTACAGGCAGCAGACAATGAAATTAATTGAACTATTCAAACACGAGGGAAATTATGTTATTGTGAGTTATTCTTTCACAGTAAAGAGTGAAATCAAGTTCAGTAGCTCAAGGAAGGATCAGACTCTTTCTTTACTGTTCAAGAAGACTTGTTCAGTAGTAGTTCTGTCTCATTCATCTTGAGGGTCCCTTTTTTGTAGTTACTTCCTCAAAATGTAGTTGAGCTTCGCCAATCGGTGATGTTCAGATCCAGATTCAAACACAGACGGGAGAATAGACAATCAGTTAGTTACCCGGTGAAGACAAACATTTTTTTCCGTTAAATAAATGAGGCAAGAGATGAAATTATATTCTTTGTCCTTATCTTCGTCAAACTTTATATAAATATATTTTTAATCTAAAATAATTAATTTTGAGATTTCTAATCGTAACATTTAAATTAAAAATTATATTATAGATTTTTTTAATTGTTATAGACTACGTCGACCCTATTATAATATTAAAATTTAAATTTTTAGAAATTAGGGTAGTTTTTGAAAAAAAAAAGTTATTTTTTAGAATAACATGCCAAAAAAATCACTCCCCTTGTGAAATTACAAATAAGACCTTCGACCTTAGGTTTTTGACCAAATTAAAAACAAATCAAAACATTTATTTTTCCACTCCAATAAAGAGTCGGTTTGGCACATAATCTAGTCAACACTGACTATACTTTCCCACCAACTCCCCTTGTGGGACCCAAACTAAAAAAATTTAATAATATATTATAATTAGTCATGAGGGGTAAATTTTGTAATTTTGTGCTTTTGGTTGGAAAGTCAAGGGGGGTGTATAAGGAAACCTGTAATGCCACTCTTTGATGGAATAAGCTACTCACAACTGTAAAGCATAAAGCTAATTACAACTATATCCTTACCTAACATTTTAACCAGTTTCATCTTTATTTTATATATTTTTAATTTATTCGTGACATTTTCCTGCATCTCTTATTACATGATTACATTTTCTACTCATTTTAACGTGTTTTTAAGAACAAAAATTATAACTACATACCGGCATAGGTTTTTTGTTAACTTTGAAATTTCTATGATTGAGCCATATACAAGAAATATGAGATCCCACATCGGTTAAGAAGAGAAGAACGAAATATTGTTTATAAGGGTGTAGAAATCTCTCTCTAGCAAACACATTATAAAAATCTTAAAGGAAAAGCTCAAATAGGACATTATCTACTAGCAGTGGGCTTGAACCGTTACAAATGGTATCAAAGTTAGACACTGGGCGAGGTGCCAATGAGAAGGTTGAGCCCTGAAGTAGGGGACTCGAGACAGTGTATCACATTTCTTTATAAAGGTGTGGAAACCTCTTCCAACATTTCTTAACCTTTGCATCTTTTGGATCACTCTCCTTCAGATATGGTATCGTTTTATTCATATACCTCTCGAATGTCTAGCTGAATTGAAAAACACTTCCTACATTAGCCTATCGAATCCCGAAATGTCATTAAAAGATTTAGATCTATGGGTATGAGAACATGGGAATGATGAACAAAAACATGTTGTAGGATATTTGAAATAGTTGAAAACATGAGGAAAGTTGAATAAGAACACGCAAAAGATGGAGAGAATCAAGCCGAGTTGGAAGAGAATTCCAAGTCAAAGT